ACATGGTGTTTTCAAATGACTTTGCTTTTTTAAGCCAATAGGCTATGACAGTATTTCCTTAATTATTTTACAGGGATGGCATTAACCCTTTACAACCACTATACAAGGTCTAGCTCTGCTCAATTGCAGGTTTGCTACTTTTGAGAACAACCGAAAGAAGGAAAGTCACCATTTACGAAAATATATAGAGATGTGTTTGAGGATGGTAAATATTCTGTATTAGGAATAAACATTGTATTTAGCGAGCCAAGAAGTACACTCAGATGTACACACAGCGACAAAACGAAACAAGGTAACAATCCAAACATAGTTCGGCCAAATCCAACTATTTTAGTTTATGGAAAAGGTTTCAAGCCGCAGAGGTCTACAAGCACAGATTTGGCTACTGATCCTGCTTGGCTAGGGCTAGTGCCCTCGCAAAGTTGTTTGGAAATTTATATCTCGAAAGTTGCCAAAAGATGCCTTAGCTACGTTACAGTTAGACACTGATTTTCAGTATATTAGACTGATCTTTTGATAATGATAGCAATTATCCCTGTAGTTTATCCTGATTCCCGATGGTAAATTCTGACTCGATTGCCGAATGACAAGGGCGACGCCATGTTTGTTTATAAACACTGAAAATAGTCCCTACCTGACCTTTGATATTTGCATCTCTATCTGCATATGACCCCAACGGATATCGTTTTTATCCGTTTGCTTTATCCTGCAGTGAAACCTACCCATTATATGATAAAGCAACTTATATGCCGTAGCAGTTCGATGTCTGTCCATGACAGTTGTCAGTTTTCAGTATCACGAGAGACATCTAAGTTCAAATATGGAAAACAACCCTGAAAGCTTAAGTTATATGGTTTCTGTTACAGTCGCCCAGTACAACCTTATCCAAGTGCGGCAGCAGTTTGGAGATGTGACAGTCCAGGGCGCCAGGAATCTGAACATTGGCGGAACGCAGAACGTTGGTACACCTCAGACCAACCCAGAGGAAGAGGAGAAGCCACTGACTGCTGCACGGAAGATCAGGAGTAAGTTATGTGTTGTACTTGTTCTCACAAGGACCGCTCAGCTGGAGGCGGTTTGTAGTAAGTGCTGACTATAATAATCTTCATATTCGTTCGAACTGTCACCTCGAGCGCAGAGTTTACGTGTTCATGACTATAATTTACATCGAGTTTTGTAATGAAAGCCACTGAAGTATTATTTCTTGCTCTCTGTTACATTTCACATTATGTTACATCCCTTCAGGACCACATACAAATTGCAGTGTGTCCATATGATTTTGTCCTCTAAATCACTCAGATCAAACGTAAGTTGGTAAGTTGTTAGGGCGTATTTGTGTCTAGAGATTCAGCATACCCAGTAGAAATTGATACAAAATCTATGGCAATCAACAAATTCAACAAATAAAAAAATCAACAAAAATAAGTGAATCAGAATTTCTGCTCGAATTGGCAAAGTGAAAACTAGGTTATGTGGCCAAGACGTTTACCTCAGGTATATTGGTATATTGGTGATGGGATATCAGACAATGACCCTTTCACTGATTTAGCCACCTGAACTATAAAGAAAGACCACCTGGACTGTTTTTCGCATTCAGATCTATGAGTGAAGATTTGGAGTGACACAAAACTGTCAACAAAACTGTATGGGGGATGACTTCAACTTTCGATGGTTAAAAATTCCCTCTAATGTCGAGTAGGATATATACCCTCACCTACTTGCAAGCACCTGATATCATCACTATTTTATAGTGATTCATAAACAGGTGATTGTGATATACAGACATAATCACACAGTAGACTGTTTCTTATCATTATCGAAATGGTTTTGTCACTTTAATTCTATACTTTGGTATTCTGGCTGCTTCGTTCATATGAAACTGTGTTATGATCCACAAGCAGAGCGAGCACTATTCAAACGTAACTTAAACTGTCTGCCCACTGGTTCAGAACCATAATTTGCAGAGGTATATTGAAAAATCGAGAAATGCTGTAAAAAAGCAGTGTTTCAATTTTAAAAAATTGAAGGTGGCACATTCGATTTAAGAGGTTTCGTGCAAATTATTGTTTGTATATCGATAATATTCAACATTCACAGGATTTATTTAGTATTGTGATATGATTTTTTTACAGTCCTTGTTGACAGGATTTTATTTCATATAATGTTTGTAAACATTGTAGTCACAATATGGATGAAATATTGTTGAAATGTTAACTCACTCACTCACTGTCACATTTCAACATCAGGGATCTCAGAGTCAAACTGCATGTGATTGAAAATGGCCACACTTTATTCCTTTAATTGAGGTCAAATTAAAATATGGCAGACTGTATACTTTTACAGATATTATTATATAGTTTATAGATACATCAAATGTGCCTTGCTTTCACAGAAAGAACGGAATCTAGGATTCAGTCAATGACTAAAGACATGGTGGAGACAGAAGCCCTCCAGAAAGTGACGGAGAAGCTGGACAGAGGAGCAACATGGGTGACAATTAAAGGAAGGCCAGGAGAGGGGAAGTCTACAATAGCCTACATGGCCCTCAACGATCAGCACATTCAGGGGAGACAAGTATATCAGGTGGTGTCACCAGAAGAGTTCAATGAGGTCATAACGGCCAGCACAAACCCTGTCATTATGTTAGATGACATATTCGGTGATTTAGAATTTGATGTAGCAGAATGGGCTAAGTGGAGACCAAGTCTACGACCTTTTGTGGATATGAAGGATACAGACAAGACCACTGAAAAGGACTCTATGGATAAGTCCACTAAAAGTAAAAAAGAGAGAACAAAGGATGAGCAAACAATTCTGAAGAGAACAGCACCAAACAAAGGCAAAACGATCATTATCCTCGTAGGCCGTGACTATGTGCTGAAATCCTCACTGGCAGACTTGGGAAGGGTGGCAGATTACATATCTAGTCCCCAGTATGTGGTGGAAGTTTCCTCACAGAGAGACTCTAATGAACGAAAGGAGATATGGCATGTTCATGCCAAAACAAAAAACATAGACTTTGATCAGTCAACCGTGTCTCGGATATGTCAATCTGACTGTCCACACGGCTTTCCCCACGTGTGTAAAATGTTTGTCACAACATATGAAAAGGATCTGACTCAGCTTCTAGCAGATGACTTTTTTCAAGCGCCTCTAGCATTCCTCAAACAGACCCTGAATAAATTTCTTAAAGATGAGGTAAAGGTTTCCCTGTTCAAGGCTATGATTAAAAGGGATGGAAAGATTATTGGACAAGAGTTGGAGGAGGAGGATGCCCATGGATACAAATACATAACAGCTGCTGATGATTTGGCTGGATCTTACCTCAAGAAGGAAGATGACACATACATGTTTGACCATCCCTCTGTGTATGACAGTGTCGCTTTAATTCTCAGTACAAAGCAATCAAAGTTTGTCATCGATTTTTGTAGTTTGTCATTCATCCATCAGCGACTTCGTCTTAAAGCCTCCACAGGACCTGGGGAAAACGTGCCTGGTGAGACAGGTCTTGTTGCAAACATCTCATGGAACTATGCTAAACATCTAGCAAGAAGATTTGCGACTGAAATTTCAAGGAGCAATTTGTTGCATGTCTTATCGCACCAGGCATGTTGTAATCCAGAGTTTATAGACTTGCTAATGGACTGCCTGAAGACACAGTGTCACATGTCTGTTTCTGATATTCTCAAACTAGCTGATAACTCTTCAAAACAGTCATTTTTTGAATTAATTTCTAGCAGCAAGTCACATCATCTCATCAAATTTATTATGAAGAACGAAAACAGAACATTCAGCCAGAGTGAACTGAGAGACATTTTACTTGGGGTGTGCATGAATGCTGCTTGTAGTGTACTGACCTATATTAGTGAACACCATCAGCTTGAGATAGATGCTAGATATGGTTGGGAGGAGAAAACACCACTTATGTTGGCAGCAGAAACCAAAGACAGTGTGTTTGTTTATCAGATTCTGGCCCTTCACCCTGACCTGAATGCAAGAGACTGTCTGGATAAAACAGTCTTTCAATACCTTTGCGCAAATGGTCTTGTATTAGCTGTGGAACATGCAATCAACATGGGCGTGGATGTTAATGGGCATCATTCACCAGTTTACCGACGACGACATCACCAACCCCCTCTATACCTTGCCATAGAAAATGGTCATGTTGGGGTGGTGGAATTGATGCTGCAAAAAGGATGTGATATAGATAAACAGAGAGGTCTTGGTTGTGCATTGAAGAGCCAGAACACGCATAAGACGCGGTTTTTTTTAGACAGAGGAGCACAGGTTGACGATGATGCTGTGTGCATTGCTTGTGGGTTGACAAACTTGCGTATCATCAAGATGTTGTTTGAGGAGGGTGCAACAGTTGACATGATTTCATCTGATGGCGATACTCCTCTTCACAGTGCATGTGGAAGAAACCCTAATGTTGTCTTGTTTTTGTTGGAGAAAGGAGCAAATGTGAATGTACAGAACGATACAGGTGACACATCACTTCATACAGCAGCATGGGATGGATATACAGAGTGTGTGGAAGTGTTACTGAAGGCTGGAGCTAAAGTCAATGCACAGAATAATACAGGTGACACACCACTTCATAAAGCAGCAGCATCCGCCGTAACAGCAGCATCTCGGGGTGGATCTACAGAGTGTATTGACGTGTTACTGAAGGCTGGAGCTAAAGTCAATGCACAGAATAATACAGGTGACACACCACTTCATAAAGCAGCAGCATCCGCCGTAACAGCAGCATCTCGGGGTGGATCTACAGAGTGTATTGACGTGTTACTGAAGGCTGGAGCTAAAGTCAATGCACAGAATAATGCAGGTAACACACCACTTCATGAAGTAGCATGGAATGGATATACAAATTGTATTGATGTGTTACTGAAGGCTGGAGCTAAAGTGAATGTACAGAACAATAAAGGGGACACACCACTTCAAGCAGCAGCAAGGTATGGACTGCAGAGAGTGTTGATGTGTTACTGAAGGCTGGAGCTCATGTGAATGTACAGAACAATAAAGGTGACACACCACTTCTTAAAGCAGCAGGACGGGGATATACAGAGTGTGTGGATACGTTACTGAAGGCTGGAGCTAATGTCAATGTACAGAACAATACAGGTGACACGCCACTTCATACAGCAACAGCAGTAGCTCGGGGTGGATCTACAGAGTGTATTGACGTGTTATTGAAGGCTGGAGCTCAAGTGAATGTACAGAACAATAGAGGTAACACACCACTTCATACAGCATCTAGAGCAGCTCGGGGTGGATCTACAGGTTGTATTGATGTGTTACTGAAGGCTGGAGCTAAAGTTAATGTACATAATAATACAGGTGACACACCACTGCATGAAGCAGCAGCAGCAGCAGCTGTATCAGCAATGTTTGATAAATCTATAGAGTATGTTGACGTGTTACTGAAGGCTGGAGCTCACGTGAACGTACAGAATAATATAGGTGACACACCACTTCATAAAGCAGTAGCAGAATGGGATGGATCTGCAGAGTGTGTTGATGTATTACTGAAGCATGGAGCTAAAGTGAATTTACAGAATAATACAGGTGACACGCCACTTCATACAGCAGCAGCATCCGCCGTAAAAGCAGCATCATGGGGTGGATCTCCAGAGTGTGTTGATGTGTTACTGAAGGCTGGAGCTAAAGTGAATGCACAGAATAATAAAGGGGACACACCACTCCATAAAGTAGCAGCACTATGGAATGGATCTAGAAGGTGTCTTAAATTGTTACTGAAGGCTGGAGCTGATTTAAATGTACAGAATAATACAGGGGACACACCCTTTTTATTTGAGCAGCCGCTGCAGCAGCAGCATGGGGTGGAACTACAAAGTGTGTTGATATGATACTGAAGCATGGAGCGAAAGTGAATGTACAGAATAATACAAGTGACACACTACTTCATACAACAGCCGCAGCAGTAGCAACAGCATCGGGTGGATCTACAGGTTGTATTGATGTGTTACTGAAGGCTGGAGCTGAAGTGAATGTACAGAATAATACAGGTGACACACCACTTCATGAAGCAGCAGCATTATGGAATGGATCTACAAAGTGTCTTAAATTGTTACTGAAGGCTGGAGCTGATTTAAATGTACAGAATTATACAGGGGACACACCCTGTTTTTATTGAGCAGCAGCTGAAGCAGTAGCATGGGGTGGAACTACAAAATGTGTTGATATACTACTGAAGCATGGAGCTAAAGTGAATGTACAGAATAATACAAGTGACAAACCACTTCATACAACAGCCGCAGCAGAAGCAACAACATCGGGTTGATCTACAAAGTGTATTAATGTGTTACTGAAGGCTCGAGCTAATGTGAATATACAGAATAATACAGGTGACACACCATTTCATAAAGCAGCAGTGTGTGGATCTACAAAGATTGTCATATTATATTATATATTCTATTTCTATACTTCAAGTAGAAAAGAACGAGTAGGACAGAAGCTGAGAGAGAAAATGAGAGACTTTAAGAATGTGACGATGAATTTTTCACATTTGACCTCATACTACTGTTTCTGCATCAAGAGACATCATTCTGATTAGCGCATGAGGAAGGGACAAAACTCTGATTGCTTTAATCCTCTTGGAGAAGACAGTGATGTCGCACTAAAATAAACCCATTTTTCTTTATCAACTATTGTAATCCAATACACAAGTGTCACTAATATTTATAGTTCAAATTCTCATGGTAATAATCCAAGAAATTGATTCATGATATAATTATAAAATAAACTCTATTTGTATTTTCATGCGTGTATGTCTTTTCCTTTGTTGATGTTATCATGAAAGAAGAAAAACAGAATGTTTATATATTCATCATGAGATAGTTTGGACAGAATGTAACCAATAGATCAAATTACACTTACACACATACACTTAGTATCAACCAATAAGATACTTTGAATTCAAATATTTACATACCCACATCCAATCATCATAGGTGGGTTGTTATTTTTTTAACACGTGATAAACTCCTATCAACTAATGAATTTCAAATACTAAAATAGTGACATGCACAAAATCACTCATTTCATCGACTACCCTCAGAGACAGAAGTTGTGTTAGTCAAAAAACGGGGTACCATGTCGGCAAGGTTTGTGCATATTTTTCTTGGTTCACTCAATTATTTTTTATTTAGAAATCACTACAATAGGTAAAGCTTTATGATAAGTACTATTGAGAAATTGATGCTTGCAAGATAATCAGCGAACCAAGAATATCTTAATGGAATGCTGCTGCTCTCGTGCTACTGAGCTATAACATAATATTGTCAATTTCTTAACCTCTTCATACTATCTCTTTAACAGAGTGGTGAGAAAAGACAAATCTACTCTTTACTCCTGGAAGCGGTTGTGAAAATGCCACACCCTAAATCAGGCAGTCATTCACCAATCTTACGAATGGTTTCAAAATCGTGACGAATGCGTGAAAAATGCAAGGCGCAAGTTTCAAGACGATTTCAACGTCATTAAGCGAGTGATTATTTAAAAATCTCGCTGGGCACTCTCTGCGGACGACGTCGCCATGGTGGAGAAGATGAAACTTGTTGACTTTATGCTACTGTCTTCAACTCACCAAGATGATTAAACGACTGTCTCGTGAACTATGTTTCGGGTGCATGTTCGATGCGGAAGGTGAACGGGGCCACACCTGCGACATGTCTGAACAATGACTCGTGGAGAAATACTTTAACATGGTATTATCCGACGTAGACGATGGAGAGGTGCACGAACATTGGATAAAACTATTGTTAGAAGACCCGAGTTTTCAAGATGTGAGTAACTGTAACTTGCTCCTGTATCCTTGCAAGGACTATCTTGACTCTCAATTTAAAACGTCTCAATGGAAGGAGGGATTGAAAGAACGCGTTGAGGAAATGTTAAAGTTAGACAAAAGAATGTGAATGTAAATTTTAAATAAACAACAACAAAAACTATTGACAGCTGAATGTTTGAGATGTTTTCTTGGGACTAATTGAATGAGTGGTTTTTTTTTGGTTTTTTTGTTTTATTTATTTAATTATGATTGAAAAAAAAAATCAATGTTGAAAATTTGTTTTTTGTTTTGTATTTCATCTTCAGACACACATAGTGAGTGAATGAGTTAGGGTTTAATGCTGTTTTCAACAATTTTGTCAGTTATATTATTGTGCCAGGGTTTACTGCAGGAGGAAAGTCTGCATCACCATGTGATTATGTGATGCAGTGAAACCTGCGAACTTTGGCTGGTACCTGCGAACAGACACACATAGACAATGATATAAAACGAAACACCATCCATTATAGTTCTATGATTACACGATGAGCTCTCGAGAGATAACTTCTGACAAAGTACTGGAAGATTATTATTTCACCCCCAGAAATCCAGACGCATTTTGGCGTCCGAGTAAACTCAAAAAGGTGTTAAAAGGTCAATTGAAAGTTCCTGCGAGCAGTGTCAAACGGTTTGTCAATAATCAAGATGCTTACAGTTTACGCAAACCTGTCAGATACCGTTTCAAACGAATGAAAGTCAGAGTGAATTCAATCAACGAAATGTTTTACGTGGATTTGGCTGATCTGTCTAGGTTTACGAAGTGGAACGATGGTGTGAGATACTTGCTGGTAGCCATCGACATATTGAGTCGCTTTGCATTCGCCCTTCCGTTAGACAATAAGAAACCAGAAACTGTCTTAAAAGCTTTCAAACAAATCCTTGAGCAGCGACGTCACAAGAAAGTGAGAGTAGATAGTGGAAGCAAATTAAAGGGTGCATTCAAGACGTTTTTACAAAAACAAAAGAAAAAACTCTCCATAGCTCGCAAACGAAAACATCAAAAGTAATTACGTGGAACGTTTTAACAGAACACTCAAATCACTGATCACCAGATATATGACACACAATAACACCAAACGTTATCTGGACATTCTGGCGGATTTAGTATTCAATTATAATCACACCCTTCATTCGTCTCTGCCTCGTCTCTCTCTGGCACACGTCGATAAAACCAATGAAGTGAAAGTAAGGAATAACCTCTATCTGGAACCTCTGAGAAAAGTCAAAACCAACATCAAGAAATACTTATTTAAAGTGGACGACCTGGTTCACATCTCATACCTCAGGAAACCTTTCAGCAAGGAACTCGATCTCAAGTGGACGGAAGAGCTGTTTAAAGTGGCCCGACGTTACAAGAAGCAAACGTTTGCTCAGTACTAGTTGACAGATTTCCACGATGAACCCGTGATAGGTAGCTTTTACACGAAGCAACTACAGAAGGTCGAGAAAGAGGGTAATATGCTGTGGCAAGTCTGGAAAATTCTGAAAAGAAAAAAGGTGAAAGGCAAGACCTATGCTCTAGTGCGCTGGCTAGGGTGGCCCAGTTCCTTTGATTCCTACGTAGAAGAGAGTGAACTGAACGCCCTCTGATGGAAAAGTACATTTTTCTCAAAAGTACAGACTCCAAAACAACCTCCTTTCCTGAGAATTCACCCTATCATTTTCGAGTCAAATTAAATCAAAGGTTGTTCTTTGATGGATTCTGGGTGGTGTCTTTACTCGAGCTAAATTTTGGAAAGCTGGATCCGAAAAAATCACCAGTGGTGACTCCTATGTGGATGTGTTATGTAACTTATGTGACAGCTCGTTGGTAGGGGAAACTCAACTGACCTTATTGAGACGCATCGATCTGAGACAGGGGCCTACCTATACGTTTGGTAGTGAATTTACTATTCGTGTCAAATTGAACCTGACAATATTGAGCTGTATTTAAAGTCGGGGTGTACATCCACACCGTCATTCTTGACGGAAGAGACCTACGCCACATTTCACTTAAGACGTTATCCTTTTGTGGAGTAAACATGGATTCCTCGCGCCCACTGTATTTCCCTGACTACACTAAGTTTAAACATTACTTTGACAAACACACGACAAGATCATCCTCCAGACTGGTAAATAGGAAGGTACAAAGGACGGTGATCCCAGTTCATCGATCAGCAACACAACAACAACAAGAAAAGCCAGATCCCCAAACTGAGGTCACTCTGCAAATGACATCTGAATCCAAAAGTGAAATAGAGATAGCAGAAGCACAAGGTAAAAGAGAAAAGGCTTTAAAACGTAAGGCAGGGGCTAGGTGCGTCACAACCAAGAAGATACGTCGGACTGACAACATCCACGCGCCTTCGAAGACGTCTAAAGTGCTCGAGTGTACCCCAGTGAAAGAAAACGACATCTTTATTAAGTCATGTTTTTTTTTAACGACAAAGAATTGAGAACTGGTTCTAAAGAAGAATATGGACGTTTGCGTATGGGGATATATCCTGGTGACATGTGCATAGTGTACTTACCACAGTGAAAAAGTGTGTGTGTGTGTGTGTGTGTGTGTGTGTGTGTGTGTGTGTGTGTGTTTGTGTGTGTGTTTGTGTGTGTGTTTGTGTGTGTGTGTGAACTAAGAAAAAACGGAAGGTCTTTGCGTTTTCGTCATTTCACTTTTAACTCTCTAACCGAACAGAACAAAGGCTCGAACACCATGGATGAATGTGGGAGGTTTGATGGTTATACAGTTTTAAACTGTGTATAAAAAGAACGCAGTACTGATGTGTACGGAGAAAGGTTTAGCGACAGACTGAAATCCTTCGCTAAAAGGCCACTTCAGATGAAGCAGTCTCCAAAATCAATGGCCCAGGCTGGATTTAGATACACAGAACAAGCCGAGTCTACTGTTTCAAATGCAAGCTTTGTGTACATCGATGGATACCCGGAGATGATCCGATGACGGAACATTTCAGACTGTCCCCTCACTGTAGCTATATCCACATGGTGTGCGAACCCAAGGTCAACAAGGAAGGGTAGAAAGCATCTCTTTGTTTTGGATGCAATAAAACACCATTGCCAAACATGCACCTGTTCATTTGAGGACGAGAGAACCAACATAAAACAACATTATGAACGAACTACTAGAAAAACATTTGACTTTTCTACTGATGCTGG